GGCCAGCGCTGTATCCTTGTGGCTCGCGGTGGCGCATCGTTCAACCATTGGGATGTATCCCGCACGTATCAGCATGTATTTCAGTGTATCAAGGAGCGCTGCGAGGCGCCGCTGTTCATGGTATGGGTATCCCTTGGGAATGACCTGTATCCGCCTCGGGCCGACATGCGGAAGTATGAGGCCGGGGTACTCGCCGCGGTATCGTCACTTCTCACACAGGCTTTCGCGTATTGCCCTCAGCATTGCTTCCTGTATGGTGCTTCCAGTGAGGTGTGGCAGTATGCCAAGCACTTTGACTCCGCGGAGTGTCGCGAGTATGATCGCCTCGTCGGCGTTGTATGCGGACACATTCTGGCTTGCCGCAGCACGTATCCGGGGCTCGATGCCCGGACCGGTGCAGAGCTCCTGCATGGAGTCGAGCTTGCCGACCGTATTGGCCACATCTCTTCCGGCAGTATCGGCATGCTGCGCCACTTCTACACAGAAATTGTGCAGTGGGGTATGATGTCGGGTATGAGCCGCTCGCGTCTGTGAACTGGTTTCCTTGTGCACTCAAAGAAAAAAATCGCATGTCCCTGAGATGGTCCCAAGAGCGCCCCAAGGCTCCCAAGAGCGCCCCCGAGGCTTCGACTCGACTCCGAGAGGTATTCACGGGGTCCCTGGCTCTTCTCATCGTTCTTATCCTCCTCCTCCTCGTCCTCGTCCTCCTCCTCAGCCTTCTCTTAATTCTCCTCCTCCTCTCATCGTCCTCCTCCTCCTCCTCCTCCTCCTCCTCCCCTCATCCTCACCATCACCATCACCACCATCACCAACACCCTCACCATCACCTCCATCATCATCATCACCATCATCATCATCGCCGGAATGATCTATGACGTATGGTGCCGGACTTTTGCCTCTGTGTCATGGCTGTCATACGTAAGAGCTACAAGTGTGGCACAATCTGCTTCAAAAATGTGACCAACTTTTGCCTCTGTGTCATGGCTGTCATACGTATCTTGTGCAATACGTAAATACGAAACAACTGCATGTGGGACAAAATTTGCCCCAAAAATGTGACCAACTTTTCCCTGTCTTCTGTCTCTCATACGTATCATGTGCAATATGTATCATATGTAAGAACTGCATGTGTGATCAAATTTGCCCCAAAAATGTGACCAACTCTTCTCTGTCTTCTTTCTCTCATACGTATCATGTGCAATATGTATCATACGTAAGAACTGCATGTGTGGCAAAATTTGCCCCAAAAATGTGACCAACTTTTGTCTCTGTCTCATGGCTGTCATACGTATCATGCGCGATATGTAATTTTGTGACAACTGCATGTGTGACCAAACTTGCCCGAAAAATGGGGGGGCCTCCCAGGGCTCAATGGTTTTACGTATTCTCTTAATGCCTTCGGCCCGAGCCGTCTTCCCTGGGCACTTCGGCCCGGGCCGCCGTTACATGGGGATCTAGGGGGGGAATCCATGAGGCCCGGGGCAAAAAACAAAAAAACATGATGTCGGTATGCCTGGTTTGGTCGCATGTGCGGCGGCGGACGTCGCACGGATGGCACTTTGGCACATGTATGTGGTTCGTTTCTGTTCGTATGGGCTTGGCCACTTTGCCGCATCAACATTCGCATGTATGCCGCAGCCATTTGTGCTCAAGGTGCATTTGCTCCTCGCATTTACGTAGTTGCGTATCTTCGTATTCACGTATCTTCCATCTTACGTATCTCCTTTGTCATGGACGGGGACTGGGACGCCGCCGGAGAGTATACTCCATCGCAACAGCAGGTCGCCCAGCGTATGTGGGGCTGGAACGTCCCACGCGGCGGCGAGAATGCTGTATTCGTATGGCTGAAGATGCTTGCCGAGAGCAGATGGTTCGCTACGGGTATCTACTTCCCCGCGGTGTGGAATGGGGTCATGGGTGTATGCCTGTGCGTATCAACGGCTGCGTCCACGCGAGTATCGAAGGCCAACTCGGAGGTCGACGAGAACATGAAGCGTAGGGGCGGTATCGAGACGCCTGAGTGGTTCGCGTTCGACGTCTTCTTCTACGCGAACCTCGCATTCGGGAACCTCCACGGCTTTCGAGATCCAGAAGGGCGGGTACTGGGCACGCTCGCGTATGTGCTCGAGCAGCTCAGCGCCACCGCCGGCATACGTGACTGGACGCGCGACGTATTCGTCCGGCACGGCGAGTGGATGTATGCCGGCCTTCGCAGGATCTTGGATCGACTTCGTATTCGCGTTCGCGCCGAGGTCGTATCGGGGCTTTCGTATAGGGCCTTGATGAGCTTGGACGTATTCATCGCCATTCACGCGCCATCCATGGGGTATGAGCCGCAGGGTATGGCACTGTGGGTTGCCGCGGGCGAGCCCGGGGTATACCCGACACAGGACCAATGGTGGCACCAGGACGTATACCGACCGTGGGGCCAGTCGCCGCATGGGAATCTAATGGACTACCGACTGGACCTCGGTATCACGGTGCAGGTCCCGGGCGTCTTGGCGGTATTTCCTCTCGCAGCCACGGGCCCGGCATCCGCGAGCAGGCGTATGAGCATCGTGCTCGGACACATCCCTGATGTCGCCATTGCGACGCGTATGGCCTCCGTGCTGCCACCTGTCCAGCCTCAGGTATCGCCGCGGATTGGCGCCATCACGGACGGGACCCAGGAGGAGGAGCCTTCGCGTCTGTAGGCTGTATGCCGTTGGCCGCTCATGACAGTATGAGTGCCGTTCCGTATGCCGCATGCCCTTGGCCGCTCATGACAGTATGAGTGCGCTCTGGCAGTATGCTCCCTGTTCCCCCGCCGGCACTGTTCGCCGAGGCTGGGCGATAGAAAAAGAAAGTATGGCAGCATCGCGACAACCATCGGGACAACCATCGGGACAACCATCCGAACAACCATCGGGACAACCAGCGGGACAATCATGTGGACAACGATCGGGACAACCATAACCATCAGGACAACTATCGGGACAACCATGGGGACGACGATCGGGACAACCACGATCATCAGGACAACCATCGGGACAACCATCGAGACAACCATCGGGAAAACCATATCGTCTCTCTCTCTCTTGTGTATTCCCACATCCCTCAGGAATTTGCCCTAAAGATGTGATCAACCATCTTGTGCGTACGTACCATGATCATGTGTACCATGTACCCTACGGGTCATATGCAACTGATGCCTTTGCGTATTCCCACTTCGGCACAGGAATTTGATTAAAAAATGTGACGAACTCCTCTCTCTCTGTCTCTCTCTCTTTGTCTCTCTCTCTCCCGCTCTCTTCCTCTGTCTCGCCTTCTCTCTCTCAGTGTCTGTACCATGTCTAGCACTGGTAACAAAGGTATTTGTGTATCCCCACATCCGCCCAGGAATTCCACAAATGTGACCAACTATCTTGCGAGTACGTATCATCTCATGTGTGTCGTGCACACTATCAAATGTAACAGAGTTGTGTATTCCCATCATCCCAGGAACTTGACCCAAAAATGTGACCAACTCCGCTCTCTCTGTCTCTCTCTCTGTCTGCTCTCTGTCTCTCTCTCTGTCTCTCTGTATTATGTATTGTATGGCACAATTGCACCATGCTGGGCACATGCGCGCCCCGAATAAGTGACCAAGTTCTGTGGGTGTGTACCCCACGCCAGTGTAGTAGCCACGGTCGTCCGCACGCCACGAAGTGAAGTGTCCCAACGTCATAGGGCGGGAAGCTGGGTGTGGGTGGTCGCGAAGAGTCGTTTGGATATTTGGTAGAGCTTGTAGTGCCCCCCCACGAAGTGGGGGTATTGCCTGGTGTCGTATGAAAACCCTGGCACTGGGGAGAACACCACGCGTTCGGGTAAAATGATTGTTGTTGTTGTTGTTGTTGTTGTTGTTGCTTCGTGGTGGACGCGCATGGCCTCACCCGCACCAGCACGCACCGGCCCCGTCCATAAATCCAGTCGACAGGTACGTGGTAAAAAGGGCGCGTTTGCCCCGAGATGGCCATGTTTGGTGGTGGTCAAAGCGACTGCCCTCGATTAAAGACCCAGCGGTCAAGCCAGGCGCGTGCAGGAAAAGTAGGTGCAGGGGAAAGCGGAGAAGCGCCAAGGCAGGCCAGGGTGCTGGCAGGGCACGTGTTTGGTAATGTAGCGGGCATAGGCAGGTGGGTTGGTAAGACAGCGACGCCTGGGCCAACGCACCGCATGCCGCTGCTACGGTCGAGTCGCCGAAGCGAAGACCGCGAGCGAAGGAATAAGGGCCACCAGCAGCTGCATCGAGTGTCCAGAGGCCAGCCAGATTCTGAAGGGCCCGAGTGGCCAGCTGTGCCCCCCTGCCGACTGGGGCTCGGGTGTGGACGAATTCTTTTTGGCACGAGTCAGTATTTTTAAAGCGATCCCCATCATCATCCCCGTCCCCTTCGAGACCCCCACCAAATTACCACCCCAGTTGGGGATACACCCCTCGAAACCCAGAGGGAAGGGTCTATATCCCCATCTATGCGGGTAGATCGGCCAGTGTGGCCCAGGCCACGCCGCTGGGGATGGGGATCGTTCAAACGATACTCAACGAGCGCACTCACGTTCCTCTGGGACGTTTGCTGAAGGGCCCTTTCATACATGCCACCATGGCTTTGCTTTCCTCTTTGCTGATCGCTTATGGCCGTCGCCCTGCTCGCTCGGTTAAGGGTCTTCGTCCAATAACCAGGGCTATCCCGTTGTGCACATACATTCAGGCTGACGGAAACGAGGAGTACAATAATGAAAGCAGTAGCGTTAGATAGAACTATGATGATGGTCAGGAGGATGGTGAGGAGGGTGCTTGTGATGAGGGGGAGGAGGAAGATGAGGAGCATAAGCAGGAGTATAAGCAGCGAGTAATTACCCTTTCTCCTCCTGCCAATCCTTGTCCTTCTCGCCCCCCTCCTGCTCCGCCTCCGCTTTTTTATTGTTCCTCTGCCGAGGTGAATCTTTGAGCTGGCACTTCCTTCCCCCGCCTCGCCACGACGGCTGAGGTGACAGACGCGTGGGCGTCGAAGATGTCTGAGACAGGCGAGCTCCCGTAACGGGGGCAAGAGGACAAGGGAAGAGGATAGGTCCACCCATGATGATGACGACGGTAGCGATGATGGGGATGCTGGCGATGATTGATACGATTATGATGGTGATACTGTCGACAGTGATGATGACGATGCTGATGCCGAGGATGGTGATGCGGATGATGAGCATCACAAGGGTCATGGTGATGCTGTTGATACTGATGGTGGAAGGTGCTGCTACTGATGATGGTGATGATCATGGCCAGGAGGACGAGGAGGATGGAGAGGAGTCACATCTCGTGGACGAGCCTGAGCAGCGGGCAGCGAGGAGGGGGGCCGAATATGAAGGGGAGGAAGACCAGCGTAAGCCCAAGGTGTAGCAAGGATGCTGCAGCACACCCTCGCGTTCCACACGCCCTCCTCGGAAGTCCCACACACGCCCTCCCACTCACTGCACGACGCGCCCCCTCGAAAGGCGAGCCCCCTACGGGCCTGCCATGCATGCGAAAGCTCCATTTCGACAATGCACTGTCCTGCATCCCTCTGGCGGGCTGCAAGGAATGCGAGTCCAGCGAGGTGTCCAGGCTTTGAGAGCCTCGCTATGAAAAAGGCACCGCTCCTCATTTGTGCAACTGTTGCTCAAGTTTACAGTTCTAGTCTGTAGATTCGAGGTTGTCTTGCGGGAGAGCCTTATTTTGGAAAGGGTCCGCCCTCCATCCGTGTAGCTGTTTCATGTGGTCTAGCTTCTGGCCGCTACATGTGAGGAGGAAATCCCATGCGAAAGCCCGTCTTGGCAAAAAGAGACACCATCCGTCCGTGTAGCTTGTTTTGAGGAAGTCTCAGGCGAGAACCCTATTTTGAAAGCGAGCTGGCTTCCATCCGAGTTGCTGTTGCAAGTTTTTGACGACTGTGCGCGGCGCTGCGGCGATATCACCATTTTCAAAAGAACCTGGGTTCTATCCGTCTAGCTGTTGCAAGCGGCTGGGGCGACTGAACGCGGCGCTAGCGCGAGAGCCCCTCTTTGAGAAAGCCCCGATCTGCGTTACCATCTCTCATTGTGCGCGGCACTTAGGCAAGAGCCCAGTTCGAACAGGACCCTGTGTGTAATTGTTAGAAGCTTTTCAGACGAATGTGCGCGACGGTCAGGCGAGACCCCAATTTTGAAAAGGACGTCTTCAACCTGTGAAACTGTTGGGATTTCCAGCTTCGGGAGGGAAGTCTGAAGCAACCTGCCCCGCTCTGTCTACGGACAACTCTGGTAGTTTGACAGGGATGATGGGCTTCAAAGGAAAATGGTTGCAGGAAGCGGGCATCCTGAGTGAGGTCGGGGGGGTCATGATGAGGAGGATGAGGAGGAGGAGGATGAGGAGGAGGAGGAGAATGAGGATACTGATTAGGAGGACGGGATGAGCGGGGATGACGATTTCCCCTCTCACCGTCTTGCTTCTCTCCTCCTGCTGAGCAGTTCTCGGTCGACGCGTGATCGCGGCTGGCGCATTGGCCATCCTATGTGTTGGTTTTGTTTGCGTCAGGCTCCGGCTGTCTTCAACAAGCGGCTGGGCGGAGATGAGGGGAGGGGATATTTAGGGGGGGTGGGATCAAGGGGGAAGGGCGTTATGGGGAAGGGGAAGGATAGGAGCAGGCCAGGAGGAGTATCTGGACAAGGAATGGCAGGGGGGCAGGGGGAGAGTGGGACGAACTGGGACTGGGATAGGCATACGGGGTGGGAAGGGGGGTACGAATTGGCCTTCAATGCCGACGCGGAGACTATTCCATCATTTCTGGTCACCGGTCTGCGACTCGTTGCGCGTGGAGGCGAGGGGGGAGGGCGGTTGAAGAGGAGGAGAAGAAGCGACCAGGTGTACCACGATCTCTCGCCCCCGTTGAATACCATCGGGCCCTCGGTTTGGCGCTCTCCTCATCCGATTCAGCCCGTCCAGCCCTTAGAAGGCTGATCACACAAGAAACCAGCCTGCCAGCATGTGCCTCATGGAGATATCATATCTCCCGATGGCTCCGTGGATCCACGGAAGCCATCGGGCACCTCAGGAAGGTGTCGGATGGACGAGGAGTGTGCCCCTCTATCTTATCGAATGCGCCCGCTGTTGTTCCATCCTGGCAGTGCTTCTCTGTGACTCCGCCCAGGCTGCGGGAACGCAGCAGACATCTTGCTCGACACGTCCCACCAGGAGGGCGCGGGCATGCGCCCCTCCAGCTTCCCTGCATCCGCACGCCACCAGTTTGAGTTTCGACCGCCGCCCCGGCACCCCCCCACATAATTACGCCCCTCCCTCTCCTGGACGGCGAGGGGAGGGAATGGGGTGTACGGAGTCAGGGGCAGAGGGATGGACGGATGGAGCGAGGCAGGGGATGGGGAGGGAGGGCCAGGGAGGGTCGGTCGCTCGCGACGGCGCAAGACTGCGCCACGCCGACGTTCGCCGAGAGGCGAGAGGGAACATGGGCACATCTTCCCTCCACCACACCCTGCCAGATCGATACCTCCCCCAGTCGCTCCCACGCCGTGGCCACCAAGGCTTGTGAGGGGGAGTGTAGAGGAGCGCTTCAGGATCGTGAGGAATCGGAGGAATACGAGGAATAGGAGGAGGCGGAGAAAGAGGAGGACGAGGCGGATCAGGAGGAGGAGGAGGCGGCGCAGGAGGAGGAGGAGGACAACCGCTTGCCAGACAGGCCGTAGCGCTGGGAACAGAACAGAACAGGAGGTCGAGGAGGAGGAGGAGGAGGACGAAGAGGAGGAGGACGAGGAGGAGGAGGAGGACCAGTGCAAACCCAAGACTCATCAGCGACACTGCAATACATCCTTCCTCCAACGTCCCTCGTCATATGCCCCTAACAAGGCTTCATTGTCACGGAAGGAAGTGTCTCGTTGGAAAGCAACAGTTTGAACATCTTGAGTTGTGCTAGAACGCCGTTCCTGGGACATCAACCCAGCGAATCACCATCAGTGGTGAATCTTGACGATCACGAATCGTGCCAGAACGCCATTCCTGGGACGTCAGCACCTCGAGCCAATGTAACTGTTGTTGTGCCCAGACAGTCCGACATCGTGTCGAACCACACTACAGTAACCATGTAAATCCTTGAAACTGACTCTTAAATCGAATGTGCGCAGCGCTCAGGCGAAAGCCACATTTAGAAAAGGAACCGCTCCCTTTCGTGAAGCTCTTGTATGTTTTCAAACGAAAGTGCTCGGCGCTACGGCGAGAGCACTATTTGAAAATGGTCCGCCCTCAATCCGTGAAGCTCTTGCAATCAAACAAACAAACGACTGCGCGCGAGGCTAAGGCGAGCGCCGCATTTTGAAAACGACTTGTCCTCCATCCGTGAAGCTGCTGCAACTGTTACAAGTGGATATGCGCGGCGCCACGGCAATAATCACATTTTGAAAACGACCCGCCCTCCATCCGTGAATCTCTGGCATTTTCTAAGACGAATGTGCGCGGGGCTAAGGCGAGAGCCACATATCGGAAACGATCTGCCCTCCATCCGTACAGTGTTGCAAATTTCGAGCTTCATCATCAATGGTGAACAAGGCTCAGACAGAACCCCCGGCCCGCCCGTTCGACCGGCCTCGGGTTGCGAGAGGGAGAAGTTGTTCATAAGGATCAGGAATGGAGGAGGAGAAGGAGAAGGAGGAGCAGGAGGAGGAGGAGGAGGAGGAGGAGGAGGAGGAGGAGGAGGAGGAGGAGGAGGAGGAGGAGGAGGAGGAGGAGGAGGAGGAGGAGGAGGAGGAGGAGGAGGAGGAGGAGGAGGAGGAGGAGGAGGAGGTGAGGAGGAGGAGGAGGAGGAGGAGGAGGAGGAGGAGGAGGAGGAGGAGGAGGAGTAGGAGGAGGAGGAGGAGGAGGAGGAGGAGAGGAGGAGGAGGAGGAGGAGGAGGAGGAGGAGGAGGAGGAGGAGGAGGAGGAGGAGGAGGAGGAGGAGGAGGAGGAGGAGGAGGAGGAGGAGGAGGAGGAGGAGGAGGAGGAGGAGGAGGAGGAGGAGGAGGAGGAGGAGGAGGAGGAGGAGGAGGAGGAGGAGGAGGAGGAGGAGGAGGAGGAGGAGGAGGAGTAGCAGGAGAAGGAGGAGGAGGAGGAGCAGGAGGAGGTGGTGGAGGAGGAGGAGGAGCAGGAGGAGGAGGAGGAGGAGGGGGGGGGAGGGCCGGGCTCAGAACGGCTGCCTCTCGTGATCTCGGCGCGAAGCCCCTTGGGCGCACGGCGCCGGCCCCCCGCGCGCTGGTGCGCGGCGCACGTCCGCAGGATTCCGCGGAGCTCTGCGGCGCCCTATGCCAGAAGACTCGGGGCTGCATCGGGTACGGGTACCAGTTCTCTGACCGCCACCCCTCCAGCCCTCGGCCGGGGGGAATGAAGGGGGGGGATGAAGGGGGAATGAAGCGGGGGGGGGAGGGGGGAGGATCAGGGAGTGGCGAGGAGGGAGGACGGGAGGGTGAGATGAGGGAGGGGCATGTGATGTGCGGGGTGGAGCGAGACGGCGAGGCGCGAGGCTGGGGAAGAGAGGATCGAGGCCGAAGGGGGTGGAGCGAGCGAGGGGGAAGGGAGTGAGGGTGGGAGGCCAGGGAGGGAGGAGGAGGAGGAGACGGGAGGGGGACGGAGCCTGCGCCGCGCGAGCCTCCCGCCCACTTCTACCCGACGCCCTCACCTTCATCCCCCCCCATCCTCTTGCGCCTGGTGCTGTGGCCGAGCGCGGGGGCGGTGCCCACGACCCCCCGCGGCACTTCTGCCCCCGTGCTCCTCTCGCTCCTCTTGATGCGTCCTCCCACGGCGGCCTCTCCTCCTCCCCCTCCTCCCTCTGGCGCCCCTGCTCCAGCTTCGGATCATGCTGCTGATCTTGCTGCCCCTCCTTTCCGTTCCCCCCTTCTGCTTCCGCCGATCCTGCTGTTGCTGGCTCTGCTGGTCCTCCCGCTTCACCTGTCCCTCCTCCTGCTCCTCTCGGCCGTCCTCTTGTTCGCCCTTCCGCTGTTCCTCCTCCATTCCACCTTCTCCTCATAATTGCTGCTGCTGCTGACCCTGTTCCTCCTCCTGCTCGTGCTTCTGCTGCTCCTGCCCCTGCTCCTCCTGCTCCAGTTCTGCCGCCAGCCGCGAGCATGGCCGTAGCGGGCAGGAATGACCCCTCCACAATTATTCAGTTCATTCGGACTGCCACCCCCCCGACTACACTGTATCCCTTTCCCGTTCCCTATTACCATCCCCACCTCGCATCCCTAGCCTTACTTCCCCACCCCAACCCCTCTCCCTATTCCTATCCCTATTCATATTCTATCCCTATCCCTACCCCTATCCCGATCTCCCCATCCCGACCCCCTCATCGTGGCCCCGCATCGTTGCCCCCCACCGTGACCTCCCAGCGTGGCCCCCATCATGACCGTGTGAAGCTATTTAGGGTCTTCTGCCGCAGGGGGTGCCATTTTCAGTCGGACCGTTTTCGGTGTTTCAAAACGTGGCCGCCGCTGCCGCGGGGGCCTCATTTCAGATTCGGCGCTTTGCTCCCGTCGTTCAGAACGACCCTCTCGCCTCCGCGCGGGCCACATTTGAGCCCCAGCTCCTGCTGCTGCACTTCCTCCTCGTCCTCCTCTTCGCTCCTCCTTCTCCTGCTCATCCTCCTGCTTATCCGCCACCTTCTCCTTCAAACTCCAATGCATGCAGCTCCCCTTCTATGGTGCATAACACGATGAGGTCCTCGTGGGTGCTCCATGTACGCTGTGGAGCCCGTTGGCGGACAGAGCACACATCAGCGAAATGTGAAGGGATGGGTGGGAAGGGTAGGATGTCAGATATGGCGCGAGCGCACCTAGCTTGCCTCCTCTCGCCTATCCCCGACCCTCTCCCTGTCCGCCATCGCCCCCTGTCGCCGTCGTCCTCCGCAAAGACGACGCGCTTGTCCTTGCGTGGGTCGCTTTCTCTGATGGATGTTGGGCGACGGCCCTGGTCGAGCTTCCGATAAGGCACCTAGATGTCCGCGGGATGGGGCTCAGGAGAAGGCGGGGCATAATTCTCTATGCTTCGCGTATCCCCAGGGTTTCAGCTGCCCGCTGTGCCCTACCCCTACGGGCGGGCTTCTGCCAGGGTTTCAGCTGCCCGCTGTGCCCTGCCCTTCGCCATCCGGTCTGTCGGGTGCTGGCGCCACTGTGCGACGCCCCGCTGTCAGTCGGTGGCTGCTGTTTTGGATCGGCTTAATGAGGTTCATTTTGTTCCTCGCATGTGCATTCCGGCGTTGGCTTTTGGCCCGCTGGCAATTATCTTGCTTGTTGCCCCAAGCTTGTTCGACCCGCTCTCTGGAATCGTCCTTGGAGCCGCAGATCAAAAAAGTATCCCCACCAGCCCATCCAGATACCCTGCCCATCAGAGCTGAAGGGATAAGGAACGACCACACACACATATACATATATATATATATATGTATGTATGTATATATACACATATATATATACACATATATGCATATTTGTATATATATACGCATACACATGTAGTGAAACCCAGCGGCCATCCAGGGTGCCCGGAGAGATCTCTGGAGCAAGGTGGTGGCCTTGGAGGGCCTCTTTTGGCCATCCCTGGGGCCTTCGTGGGGGCGAGGGAAGGAGAAGGAGGATGAGGAGGAGGAGGAGGAGGAACTGGAGAATGAGGAAGAGGAGAAGGAGGAGGAAGAAGACGACGACGATGACGACGATGAACGCGACGACGAGGAAGAGGAAGAAAGGGCAAGGCCGAGGACGAGGACGAGGACGAGGAGGAGGAGGAGGCGGAGGTGGTGGAGGAGGAGGAGGATGAGGAGGAGGGGCTCTGCCATGAAGCCCGCCGTGGTGGGGGAGTTTGGGCGGTCGCAGCTGGTTGGGCGGGGAGCGTGGGGAAGGGATGAAACGAGCGGCAACTCGCTGCGAGGTTTGGCCTCACCCCTTGTGGAGGTGGAGGCCTGGGCCAAGCGGCTTGAGGAGCTAAAGAAGGTGCAGCGCAAGCGTCAAAGTCCAGCCAACCAGGAGCTGGAATAAACTGAATGACACTTTGTCACCCCTCTAGGTCGTAATCTGCTGACCCCTAGTGGTCACAGACTTTGGTCGACATGGGACATCGTGTAGCGAAGGAGGAGGATGATGAGGAGGAGGAGGATGAGGCGGAGGAGGAGGATGAGGAGGAGGAGGAAGAGGAGGAGGAGGATCCTCTTCTTCGGCTGGCAGATATGGGCCCTGAGCTGCCAGACTTCGATCTGGGCGCCCTCGAGGCCCGTCTCAACAGTTTCAATTTCAGCAGCGGAGCTGGCTATGATCAGATCCTCCGGGCAACTTCTCGAGCTGCCCGAGGAGGATCTTGAGTGCTTCCTGCAGCTGGTTTTCACCGGCGACCGCAATTTCGAGTGCCTGCTGTTGTGGCCGAGACTGGTGTTCATCCTTAACCGGGCTGGAGGTCTGAACCCGACAGCTCTGATGCGCATCGCCTCCAGAGTCCAAGGTCGCTTGCCTCGCCCCCTCATTCAGCGTTGGCAGGAAGAAAATGTCCGGAAGTTCTGGCGGTCGACTCGGGGTCGCAGCTCGGCTCGCTTCGCGTGGGCGCGAGCTGCCCTCGCCGAGTGCGCTCAGGGGTGCGACCTTTTTGAAGGCGGGGTGCTGCTAGACTTGCGCAACGCATTCGAGAACGTCAGTCAGGGGGTTCTGCTCAAGGGTGCTCGAAGTATAGGTTTTCTTTTTCGTCGGTCCTGGACCGTGCTGGGGCTGCCTCGGCCTCCATCTGCGCGGGAAAGGGCCGTTTTACCAATCTGGCATTTCGCGACAGTCATGCTGCAGTTCGTTTTGCTTGCCCCCCTTGATGCCGTCCAGGCGTGCTTCCGTCTCCGTGCTGCTCGAGAGGTCCAGGTTCGGGCGGTGATTGATGAGACGTGGCGTAGCATGGTCGGGCCCTCCAAGCGGGTGCTGGAGACTTTCGTGGAACCCGCGCGCGTGCTTCACTATGAGCGTGAATCGGTCCATCTTCCGATTAGCAGGCCCAAGTCTCGAGTGCTCGCATCTCGCCAGCCGTTCCGCTTGGTGCTAATCAGCAGGCTCCGTGCGCGCAAGATAATCGGCGTGAAGTCTGAGCGCAATCCTGGCATCGATTATGCAGCTGGCGGGGCAGTCAAACGCGTCGCCATGCGTGAGAGACAGGTGGCGGCCAAAGCTCGCCACGTAAAGGTGTCTCCTGTGTAGGCGAATTCCAGGAACACGTGGAGTGCATCACATGGTCCGTGCTGCCGCCCAGGCCCCCACCTCGCACGAGCCGGGGGTGCTTGGCAGCAGCGGGCGATCGCCTGGCCAGGTTTCAGCAGACTTTCAGTTCAGGTGTAAAGATTGTCCGGTAGGTCCGCCGTGCCGTGCCACTGATGCAACTGTCTGGCCTGCCACGCATTGGCCCTGCGTATGCCCCCAATGTTGCCCCCGTCCTCTCGGTTGATTCCGCCCCCTCGGATGGGTGGGCTCCTCGTGGGATGGCGGTGCAAGGTTTTGTGGGCGCGTGGCAGGCACTGTTGGAACACGGCTCCCCGTGGCAAGCGATTCGTGGGCCTGTTGCAGCAGCTATCGCCGCAGCTCTGTGTCTGGGGATCCAGATGGACCGGCTAGACTGGCAGCATCCGGCTGTTCGCTCGTTCTTGGTGAAAGCGCTGTGCCCATCGCGCGGTCATGCACGCGCTCGAGCCTGTCAATCGGAGCTGGTTGTGGAACAAGGCCGTGGACCGTCTCCAGGCTCCCGAGCTCCTCGCTGGGCCTTTCTTGGCCTCCATCGAGGCTGGTTTCAGTGAGCCCGAGGCAGGCGGGCGGGCCCACGCCGTCGGCGCTGTTTCTGGCGGCCAGTGGTCGCGAGAGCGCCGGCAGCCAGCGCGGATCGTCGCGAGGGTAAGATTGCGCGTCTGCTCCCTCTGCCAACCAGGCACTCTGCGGCACAGGCATTCCGCGCGTCCAGGCCGCCAGGACCTGCTGGAGATCGAGCAGGGAGCGCCGGCCTGTACCAAGGGTGCGCTCGAGGCTGCGGGTAGCCCACTCGTCCGCCTCCTCGTGGAGAGGCTGCTCGTGCCGTTGCCTTTTCGCCCGCCCCCTCTTCTTTCTCCCCCCGAAGAGCTCGGACTGTGTGGCGCTCCCGAAGGGCTCGGGGGAGACTGTTTTAAGAATGGCTCTCTTTTTGATTCTGAACTTCCCCCCGCCGCTCGCTCGCTCGTTCGCGTGGGGGGTCGTTGCGTTGCATGGTGCCCCCCCCGCTGGGAGGGCCAAGCGTGCGGTGGTTGAGGGAGGACTGCTGGCAGGCTTGTGCGATATTGATGCGTGTGAGCTCTGTGCGTCTTTGATGGGCCTTAGGCATGCCCTCCCTTACGCGTTGTTTTCGGCTGATTCCAACTTCGTCTTTGAGGGGATTTGGGCCCCCAGGCGTGGGTACTGCTGATCGGCCAAAGCGGCCTGAGCGGACATCTGGAAGCTTGGCTGGCATGCTGTTGGGGATAGGGGAGGCCTCGATCAGATGCGCTAGTATAAGGTCAAAGCGCAGACCGTTGCTCGTGCGCAGATAGGTAGCCAGCTCGCGGACACATATGCCAACCAAGCCGCCGAGTTCACCAGATTATCTGCCCAGTATCTTGAGCGTTTCAAACATCAGTTCGAAGTTGTGAGCACTCTCGCGGGTTCAGTCGGCCTGTGTGGGCCGCCGATGGCCGATCTCGACTGTGAGCGTGTGCCTGTTTTCCAGAGAGTTCCCAGGCCCAGCAGCAGGTTGGATTCAAACATCGCGTTGCAAGTCGTTTCTTCTCTGTCTGTGGTCGCCGCCGTCGAAAGCCGTGCCGACGTTTCGATCCCCGCGCTCGAGCGAGAGTGTTATGCCACTCGCAGAGCCGTTCCTTGCACTCTCGCCGGGGGGGGGGGAGGCGGGTGGTGGTGTGTGCCCACTGCGGTAATGGCGGAGCTGCTATCCCTCACAGAGTTTTGCCACCCAGCCCATTGTTTGGGGCAACCGAGTTCTGCGAAGCCTCGGGCAAGGCAGATGCAAGTCGGGCAAGGAGCGGCTTCATCCCACGGAAGCCCGGCGGTCTGCCAGTCTGCAGCGAGCTGGCCAGGGCTTGGCCCAGGTTAGCCCTCTGGGGGAGCACCCTGTCGCGGGCGCCTCAGCGGGGGATGGAACCCAGTTGACGTTGCCAACGACTTCCTGATGGGTGTTCCACAGGGGTCTTTGCGCGTTTCGGGCTTTGTGGGATCCCACGAGCGAGCTCACTGCGTGTGCAGGACGAGGATACTGGGGAGGGGGAGAAGGGGGAGGAGGAGGAGGAGGGGGAGGAGGAGGAGGAGGAGGAGGAGGAGGAGGAGGAGGAGGAGGAGGAGGAGAAAGAGGATGAGTTTCGCGCTGCCCGCAGGACGATTGCGACGAACATGGGAACAAGGGCCAATGCAACCTGTGGCACGGACTGATACCGCTCCGCCCTCCCAAGACACTTTTATCCAGTGTGTGGGTGTATACTGTTTCTATTCTTCCGTCCGTGTTTGTCTGTCTGTCAGTCTAACTGTCTCGCTGTCTGCCTCTCTTTCTCTCTCTTCCTCTCTCTGTCTCTTTCTCTCTCCCTCCCTGTCTCTTTTTTATGTTTGTTGTTATTTTCTTTCTTTCTTTCTCTCTCTCTCTCTCTTTCATGATCGTGTTGTGTTTATTCCCTACCTAGGCTCTGCCTAGAAGGGTTCTTACTCGGTTCGCTTAAAGGGCCGGGCAGTGCTAAGCGCCCCGGGCGGTTCCCCCAGTTGCGCTCCTTGGGTGCTCAGCAAAAGCAAAGGCAAAAGCAAGCAAAAGCAAACACAAAAGCAAAGCAACAACAACAGCAAAAGCAAAAGCAAAAGCAAAGGCAAAGGCAAAAGCAAAGGCAAGAGCAAAAGCAAAGGCAATGCAAAGCAACAGCAAAACCAATGCGAAAGTGTAGATGTAGATATAGATGTAGGTGTAGGTGTAGATGTGGATGTAGGTGTAAATGTAGATGTAGGTGTAGATGGAGGTGTAGATGTAGATGTAGATGTGAGTCTCGCTGTTGATGTTGATGTAGATGTAGATGCAGGTGTAGATGTAAATGTAGCTGTCGGTGTAGATGTAGATGTTGCTTTCCTAGATGCTCCAACTTCTAGGTAGGGTCGCACTTTTTTATTTTGTTTTCTCGCTCTCTCTCTCTCTCTACCTCTTTCGTTCTGTGTGGCTCGTCCCCATGTGTGCACTCTCCGCTTGCTCATCCCTCCTCTCCTCTTGATTGACTTGCTTTGCATCTGAAGGTCTCTGCCCCACGTGCGCCCTCGGATGTGGAAGTCTGCTGCCCCGCCAGTGGCCGTGCGCTAATGATTACGGGAACGATGCCGTGCACGTTCTTCCGACGCAGGATCATCAAGCCATTCTCTGGAGTCGACGCTTTACCCCCGTGTCATATCACCTCCACCCAGGATTTGTGTGGAGAGTCGGGCGGATGCGTCGCGAAGAGAGACCACCGGGTGGGTTATGAGGACCCCGCTGGAGTGGAAGAGATTCTGCCAATGGTCGGAGGCTTAGGCGGGGCGTCTTGGGGTTGGCCCACACCTTGCAGACGCTGCCCAGTGCAACTCGATGGTAGCTCGATCGCGCGGCGAGCACGTCGTCGCTGCAAGAGAAGCCCCTGGTCCTTGACACCTTTGAGGGCATATGCTGGAGATGCGACTGTCTTTGCAGTGGATTCGCCGAGCTATGGTGTTGCTTCAAATCGAGCATCCTGCGGCCTCTGGACGCTCTCATCTCATCATGCCTTGTCCTTTCAGCATCATATACTGCTCTACTGCTCGTTCCCCTCCCTTCCCCACTTCCGTGGCCGCTTGGGCTCCGCTAGTGGCGGTTTTGTGATCCCCCTTGGCGTAACGCATGTTGCCCAGGTATAACGGCAACGCGAGACAAACGATCACATGCACGTGTTGGTACTCACAGACATTGTGGCGCTCACCCGTCCACGCAAACAGGCTGCCAACATGTCGTGGTACTGCCAGGGTCTGGAACACTTCCGTGCCGTGCATAGTGTCCTGGTCGCACTCATCACGTGGTGCTGCAACGCTCTGGCAGTCTGCGATGTTGCCACACCACCAGCACTATGACCATCGCCCTCCGCTGTTTCTGCACACCCCATCCCACGCTTCGTGGCCCCATAGAGAGCTCCACCGAAGGCCCCAATGGCCGTGCCCGTTTCGGCACATCCCTCACGCGGTTCGTGGCCCCATAGGGAGCTCCACCGAATGCCCCAATGGCTGCGTTCACCTGCGTCCCCGCCAGACAGCTCCGCACACCCGTTCATACGGTTCGTGGTCCCAGAGAGAGCTCCACCCAAGGACCAAGTGGCTGCGTTCACATGCGTCCAGCGTCCATTTCGGCACACCCCTTCCACGGTTCGTGGCCCCATAGGGAGCTCCACCAGAGGCCTAATCGGCTGCGTTTTCATGCGTCCCGCGCCCATTTTGGCACACCCCTCACACGTTTCATGGCCCCATACGGAGCTCAACCGAAGGCCCCAGTGGCTACGTTCACATGCGTCCCCGCTACCCATGTCGGCATACGCCTGACACGGTTTGTGGCCCCACAGGGAATTCTTGACGCTTCGCGCATCCCCACCAGCGGTTCGCTGGCGCTGTTAGAGTTTAACCTCTCCTTACGGGATGCCGTCTGGCGACAGCTTGCGTGTCTCTCGGTCGATGCTAGTGCATGGCAGGCATCCTGGGACCCCTTGTACGCCATTCCCGCGCCGAGGTTGGAGACTCCCTACTGTTCAGATGGTGTCTCAGGGCGTACTGCTCACTATGACCTCTGACACGTTGGGGGTATTGCATCGCGCCACTTTGGCAGCGTAATTACTGCTCCCTGGGTGTTGGTTCCGCCGTCCGACTCCCTAGGCTGCAGCACCCTTGCACCCGCCGCCCGGCGCCGGCCGCTGCCCGCGCGCGCGTCCGGCCAATTAGTTTCGGCCGCAGCCCGACCGTTACTCGCCGCCGCTGGCGCTTCCGCCCGCGGCTGTAAAAAAGAAGAAGAATCCCCACCAGCAGCGCACGCATCGACGCACACACATGGATCCACCTGGTCGAGTACTGCACGGAGCAGCCATGCCGCTGGTAGGTGGCATGGAGGCCAATGGCGCGACAGAGCCGCCAACCCGCTTACGCCAGCCGACCGCCGCGCCCACGACGGCAGTCGGATGTACAAGACGCCCACACAGTTGGTGGAAGCACAGGGCAAGGCCGAAAACAGCCGCGACCTCATCAAAAGGATTCAAACCGAGCTCGGCGCCACCTTCAACGAGGTCTGGCACTGATGGGCAGAGCGGCGCGAAACGCGCCCTGGTTTCGTTCCTAAGGATCCATCTGTACAGACCCGGCATGCCAGCGATGAATTCCTGGACGCCTGGCGACAGTGCGACTACGATGCCTACGCGCTCAACCACCACTTTGGGCTCAATGCTAATTTTGGGGCACGCACGACAGGAGCACATGACAAACGACTGGGGCAGCGCAGGGCGATCAGGCAAGGGACACGACCAAGACGCCCCTGATGCACGCAGCGGCAAACAGGGCAAGCGCAGCCACGGCTGGGATGGGCCCCTCTCAGAGAAAAGGCATCGTCAGTAGGCCCCCCTACTGCACGCTCAACTACTCCACCCAGCACCTCCCACCACGCGTCCTCACGGGCCGCACTGGGCTACGGCTGCTTCTTGTCCACTTCGCCTCGCGCCTCTCGTTCGCCTCCCGTCCTGCCTGGGGTATTCTGTTCTTGCGTTTGCAGCGATCAGCTGCCGCCACTTCCCGCCCTCCGCCTCCCTTCCCTCTTCTTCGCCTGGGGCTCACCTGCACCTGCTTCCTCGATGCCTGCTCCATTGACGGGGCCAGCGCATCGCCTGGGGTACGCCTCTGCCTGGGGTAGCCACTGCATCCTTTCTTTATGCATTAGCAGCGATCAGCTGCCGCTCCCATTCCTCCACGTAGCCTGCACTTGCGGCGATCAGCCGCCTAGTCCTACGCCTTCGCTTGGGGAATCGTCCGGCAGGTACCTCTCCAAGTCCTGCCCCGCTTTGGCGCATGGGGTTGGCGCATATCGCTGCGGGCCCCCCGTGGCGTGGGTGGCGGACGTCCGCACAGCCGCTCCCTGGGGCGGCGGTCAGTGAGCCTTGGTGTCGCTCCCCTGGTCGCCACCGGGTTGGCGGCCTCCTATGAACTGTCGCAGCTGCCGCTGGGTCTGGTTGCTGGCGGCTGGCGCGCCGCCAGAGAGCTGGCGCTGACGGCGCCCTCCAGTCCCTCTACCTCGTAATGGCCGCAAGGGTTCATGGTGATGGGGATCGACAAGGACTTGCTGCTGATCTCGCCAGGGGCCCCCTCAGCCGCTTAAGGCGTCGACTGCACGGTCTCCATGGCGAAGCTCTTTGCGGGCCGCTGGCCGCTGTGCCGCTGGCCGCCCGCCGCTCCCCGCACGGGGTTCCCGCTGTTGTGGCGCTCCGCACCCTCTTGCACGGCGTCGTCGTGCCGGTCACTTAACTGCCTCCAGGTCTTGGCGCGCGGGGCGCCCTGGTGGCTGGTCGCGTTGCTTGGCCGCTGCTATTGTGCTGCCCTGTCTGGAACCTTTGGTTTTCTTCGTGAAGGTCCACGCTGCCTCTGCACCGGGGGCCCTGACTCCTCGAGGAGGTCCTGGAGCTGCCGCAGTCCGTCTGTCTTCTGGGTCTTCCGCGCGGCCCACATCTACGCGAAGGTGGTGGCACTTTCCGCGGTACCTGGAGGTCGCATACTCCGTGACGGTCTACGCCGCCTTGGCCGTCGGGTGCCCTCGCACTCCCCCGGGGAGGTCCTGGTGTGGCCGCTGCCTGGAAGTCGTGGTGACCTCCCTGGTCCTCTACGTGGAGGTGGTCACTCGCCCACGCGGGGCCTGGAGGTCGTTTTCCTCTCGGAATCGTCATGCTCTTCTTGTGCAAGGACCACGTGTTCGGCAAGTTCGCCTGGGGAATCGGATTTCCCTCTCTCGTCACCGCCTTTCTGGGTAAGTGTGGCGCTCGGGTCATCCTTCGCCGCCATCATGTGCGCTGGCTTTCTATTCTCCCTCGGCACCTTCCTCGCGTTCCTTGTGCCCTTCGTCGCCTTCGCGCCATTGTGGCCGCCTGAGTTCCGCCCCGCACCTGGCGTTGTTCGTTGCTTGTTTTCCGCAGCCGGTGGCATAACCTGCCCCTGCTAGCCTGGCGTTCGACCCGTTTCGCGCGCCCGCGTGCCAAAACATATCCCCACCAGCCCATCCAGAAACGATCAACAGGAGTTGGTAAATCAGGGGCGGCTGGAAGCGTGCAGTTGCGCCGCCGCCTTCGTGAAAAACAAGAATCACACATAGCTTCCCGCATTGAAGTTTTCGATGGATACCAATGCAAGATACGACGTGCTACTCCCCGTGG